TATCTTAGTTTTGTCCACCAGTGTATTATGGCTACTAATGTAAAAATACCAGTTGAATATCTATATCATGTGTTTGATGATAAGATGTAGTGATGCCATACTTATGGCTGTGTTGTGCATAACTATCCCTACCATAACGGTACAAAAGTCTGATTAGACTGTCTGACTAACATAAACAATTAATTTATGCATTCGTACCTGAATATCGACCTACAGTACCATACAGTATTTTTGTTTCATGGAATGCATATCCTTCATATCCTCAAAGGAGTTACACGATGCCAGGGATTTGTACTGACTTGTAACATTGAAACATGAACACACACAGGTGCACAGCAACAACAATGGGGCTGTACATACTTTGAGATGGTTCATGAACAAAAACGATCAAGAATTCGCTGGCACGTGTGGATGCTTATCTATAGCACCACCAGTGGAACTGATGCAGCTTTTCTCAAAGAGTACCTCTGAAGGGTTTCAACATTTGTTTGTTGGGTTCACTTGCACATTTGGATGCTGGCCCAATGCAGGCAAGTTTTGCACTTCACATACCAGCACCGGTGGAGCTTACATTTACAGCATTCTCCAAGTATATCTGTCAGGCATTTTAACCTCATCCACAACACAGGAAGTTGCATCTGTCTGTCCCCAGACTGATTGTTACATTCTGTATGTTGGGAAAAGGCACAGGAGAGACAAAAATATCTTCCATTCACATAATGAAAATAAGAATAATAATAAGAAAAATAAGAATAAGAATAAGAAAAATATCTTCCATTCACATAAGAAATGCCTCTTTAGTTCATATATGACTGCATTGCTTATATGATCCCCACATGGTCATCAGTATCCAAATTAAAGTACTGGTCCTTGGCAACATGAAAAAAAAACTTGGATAAATTTGTTGGTGAAACAAAAAATATTGAATTATATACTCCATGATGATGCTGAAATCTTAGCATTAAGTTTAGGGAAAAGAAAAATTATATCCTAAGTTCTCACTCACAGGCAAATCACCATGCTTTTTGAAGTCCTGAGAAATGATTTCATTATGAGTAAATCTCCATGAAGGAAAGGTATGTGATCCTTGCTGATTGACATGATGTCAGAGCCACATGTACAATGTATGTGTGAAAACTTGCTGTGACAGTAACAGTAATGCCATTATGTTTTCATTATGTGGTAACAGGTATATACCAGGCACAGGTGAAGCCAGTTCATCTTCAAGCTCCCAAGGAACTGACCCATTCCCTGGATCAGGTCGATATATTCCCAGTGAAGAATCCCGGGCAGGTGATGGAATGGGTTAGTTTTATTTACTTAGAGCAAGAAGTTGATTTTCTTATTCTAAACTCCAGTGTTTGTGATATAGAAAGTGGTGAAGTGCCTGATNGTTTTATTTACTTAGAGCAAGAAGTTGATTTTCTTATTCTAAACTCCAGTGTTTGTGATATAGAAAGTGGTGAAGTGCCTGATGCTGCTCTTCTAGCCAACAATCCCTACTTCCCTCAGAAGGACTATGTGAGCTTTGACACTGCCAACTCAGCTGCCTTATTGGGTAAAAAAATTTTTTTTCTTTCTTCTATGATCATTCACATGCAGGCAGTGTGACCTTTATTAATTTCAACATTTGAAGGGAAACTACTTGAGTTCAGAAAAAATGTGAATCTGCAATTGGATGAGGAGATTCTGGTTTCAGCAGTGACAGTTGTGGAGAATCCAAATATGGCAGGGTGTCTTAGGGTATCTCAGTTCAGTTCTGTGATTTCCATTTTTCTTTCTCGATAAAATAAAATAATTTCTCAATAAAGGACTTGTTTCACATTTTCCCATTGATTATGAGTCGTACAATACATGTGAACTTCAATTTATTGACACTTAAATGTAAAAAGACTTGAAAGTTATCTGGATCAAAATAGTTTATGTTTCTTTTATTCACAAACACAGTTCCTCAAAAAGATGCCACATTCAATTGGCTTGTTCACAAGCATCAATCCAATCATTGTACACATCAATAGCCTCTGACAGGAAGTTGATTGTGGTTTGGAAGTCCTCCATG